TATTATGTATCTAGACATATTATTTATCTAGATGCATAACAAAATAAATATACCAAAAAGTCAAAACAACTTATAATTTGAAACGATGAGAGTATTATATAATATGCATGCATGCATTGCGCTTACGTATGCGTTACTGCATGCGTGCGTGCGTGCGTGCATGCATGGATTGTGGATTACATTAATTTCGTGAGTGAAGGAAACGTAAGGACCGATCGATCGATCCGTGTGAGCTGTATAGCCATGCATGGGCAACGTACGTATATACATGCGCCTATATACGGTGCAAGAGAATTTCCAGATTCCTGGAGAATTTTGAGATGCATTGTTGCATTGCATGCATTGTCAAACCGCAAGTCCGCAAAAACTGGAACGGTCTCACGTGCGCACGGCGTCTATGGATCTCCAGATTCTAGCTATCTGCACTGCAATGCATGTATCTGTAGGATGCGTTGTACGTACCTAGCTAGCTAGCTGTACGTACATGAAATGTGAATGCATTATTATACATACATAAACTATATACACATGCATGCACCGTGCACGCGTATGTACACCTTACCAAGCCCCAGTTGACCCCGGGTCGAACACTGCATACAACTTTTTGGTGCACTGGCTAACAGATAAATTAAATGTTCTCTGGGTTCCAGATTGTAAGTCCTTTTAGCTTATTTATCCTAAGATAGTCTTCTCTAATTTTCACTGAGTTCATAGAAAAATATACACACACATATACTAAACCAAACTATATTTATTAATTAGGTAAGGCATAAAATACATTTTCATAGGGGCTTGTGTGAGCATGCAAAACGCACCAGGCTAAAAAACACGGCCCCCAAATAATGTGAGATATCAGGCAGCAAAATATGACCACAGGCAACTAAATTTAGATGTATGGGATTGCTGGCTGGGCCAGACAGCCCTAGTCCACCGGCGCTAGAAGCTGAAGCCTATTTGTTTGAGTTGTAGCTTTTAGGCATTTGGCTAAAAACCTAGCTTCCTGTCTTTTGGTTTTAGTATTCTTATAAATTTTTAGCTTTTAAGCAAACCGAAAGTTGGGGAAAAAACTCATAATGTAATTTTGAGTATTGAGTTCATTTTCTTACATGCCAGATTTTCAGCTTTTCAAAAGCCACCTCAACAATTCAAATTGTTTGGTTTCAGCTTCTTCTCGCTGGCAAAAACAAGCACAAAGCTAACACAAACTCTTAGTGGACCACATATTTTTCACTAAAAATAGTAAAGGAGTGTCCTTTTTTGGTGAGAAGGGGGAGTCAAACTCCTGACTTAGGCTGCGCTTTCTGCATTCCTACCACTACACTACGTGCGCGTTCTCAGTTACATTTTTCACCCGGTGATTTATTTTTGTTGTTCCGTTTCGGCCGAAGGCATTACGCGCATCACGGCCACGCCATCACTAATTCTTGTTCAAGGTTTGGTTTTCTTTTGTTTTATTATCTTGATGAATTTTTATAAGCAATTAGCTAGGCCAGAATACATACTAAATTTATGGTGTGTGTGTGTGTGTTAGTGAAAGTATGCCTTATTTATAGGAGGCACAAAACGAAGTTGACAATTTTAGAACCTCAATTTGCATTTCATTCGATCGCTATAGGCTCCAAATTTTTGGAGAGACCACCCTCACTAGTAGAGAAACGAGTTATAGTCCCGGTTTTCAACCCCTTTAATCCCGGTTTTGGAACCGGGACTATGCAATCGGGGCTAAAGGTCTTGATTTTTAGTCCCGGTTCCTCCAACCGGGACTAGAGGTGTTTATTAGGTAAAAAAAAGTTGCAGCTATGGAGATTCGAACCTACAACCTCCAACTTCAGCTCTTGCACGCGTTACCATCTCACCTACCACCACACATCTAACTTAGATAAGATACGCTTTCCTTTTAAATTCAATTTGGAGACACCTTTAGTCCGGGTTTGAGATACAAACCGGGACTAAAGGTACCTTTAGTCCGGGTTTGTGTCTCAAACCGGGACTAAAAGTCACACTTTTAGTCCAGTTCATGTCTCAAACCGGGACTAAAGATTCTCGCAATGACATGCCTCTGACACACCTCGATAACCGTTACAACCGGGACTAAAGGGTAGAATTAGTCCCAGTTTGTATTACAATCCGAGACTAAAGGTCCCGTCCTCCCTTTAGTCACGGTTGCAATTTTTAAACCGGGACTAAATAATTTTTTGCCATGGATGAAAGGTCGTTTCTCTACTAGTGCATGTAGAAAGTCAAAATGACTTATGACTTGAAACAGAAGAAGTACATAGGTTGCCGATCACTTTGTTCTTCCCAATCAAATCCTACTCATCAGTTCGTCCACATAATCCATGCATATATGGAAGCTAGCAAGCAAGTACACGCAGCAAGAACAATGGCCTTCTTATCCTCTCGATCGGATCAGCAAAAGCAGCGTCACGAGCAGATTTAAAGGTCAAAAGCAAGGGATAGTTCTCTGCGACCTAATATAGTTCTAATTAATCCGATATATATAGTCTTTATGCTTTTCAATCGGACGTGCTGAGAATAGTGACAAAAATATCTATATATATGCTTTTCAATCGGACGTACTACTATACGGCGAGTAAGAAGGGACCAAAATACCTACACATGCTTTTCAAACAAATGGTCCATTATATTGTGGGGACTCTGAAAGCCAAGAATTAAACCCGCGCGTGTATCTCACCAGCACTTTGGAAGATAAGATCAGTGCAGCAGCGGCCAGCAGAGATAGTTATCACTCTCCAGTCTCCATGCATGACGTCTACGCTAAAATGCATGTGAACGTTAATATCCACGTGTGGTCGATCGCTCATGCCTGCATGCATGATACACAAAAAGAATGTAATTAACACGATGAGAAAAGGGGGCTTGATAGAGCTAGCTCACCTGTTTTGGACGCTAGCATCAACAAGAAGAAAGAAAGGGCAGAGCACACATATATCATGCATATATATATATGGTCAAAGCCGCAGTGTGGTTAATGACATCAGCAAGTACGTAAAAACAATAAGGTCAGCTCACCAGTCAAAGCTGGAAACACGTGCGTCACTGCGGGCATCAGCACGCACGAATGCACGATGCAGGGGACGGAGGAGGTCGTCAGGTCAAATTGCATTGTTTGCACAACTACTACTACCACTCGAGCAATTGCAAGTTCAGACACAACTTGCTTGCAATTGTCCCCCAGCGATCCAGCAATTGAGTTTTGCCACATGATCCATGCATTATATTCCACTAGCAGGTTGAACAAGCAACATCTATCAGCAAATGGAAGTCAAAAGGATAATGAATGAATATATAATGACCGGAAGAAAGAAAGCCAGTTGTGTTCATTCGTACGCGTAGTATATATGCGCTTTTTATGTGTTGATCTACGCGTAAGGTAAGGTAAATTGGAAAGTCAATATATAATGCTAATGCATCGTGTTGGAGCGCGTCATTCAGAGATCAATTGGAGAAGATGATGATGCATCAGACATGGGTGGGTTCTCTACGTTACTACGTGCACTCACCTGAACCTCTGCAAGTTGCGAAGAGAACAATTTGCACAACGTCTCAAGAAACTGCATGCATGCGGTTCAGACGCAGCTTGTCGATCGATTCAATCAGGCAGGCAGCGTGCAGTAAACAAAATGCAACCACTAGTGTGTTTTTTTTTTTTTGAGAAACAAAAAATGCAACCACTAGTGGGTGACTCTTGTCGGGTGGCCTTCAGAATCCCTGATGTGATCTTTGCAGCATAGTATGGAGGAAGAAAGAAAAGGAAGTGAATTTAGTTGGGCCACTGGGCTGCAGCCCAGTGGGTCAATTGGCTAACACGCAAGGTTCTCTCAAAACAAATGGGGAAAGGCTAATAAGAGGATGGTTGGGACTTGTGGGCCACGGTGGCGTTAGAAATTTACAACTGCGTCCACGGCCAGACAAGCCCAGAACGAGCCCACGGGCCAAGTAGCTAACAGCCCAAAAGCAGAAAGTAAGGCTGCTGCCAAAAAAAAAAGCAGAATTAGAATCCAGCCTCCGAAAGGGTGACTAAGAGCACGTGTCAATCAAGCGGAATTTCACATGTCACATCAAATGTTGCGATGCTACCTAAGAGGACTAAATATGAGCTCTTAAAAACTAATTACAAGAGTAGACTAATTTACGAGATGAATCTATTAAGCTTAATTAATCCATAATTAGCATATATTTACTTAGAATTATCAAATCATGGACTAATTAGGCTTAAAAATTATCAATAAAATTAGTTAAAAAATTAGTTATTTTTTAATCTATATTTAATACTCCAAAAATTTAGTTAAACATTCGATGGAATAAAATCCGGTCTAAGGAACCAAACAACCCTTAAGAGCACCTGTCAATCAAGCGGAATTTCACATGTGCGCTTGGGCGTCCCAAAACAAACATACATCTCGCATTTCAAGAAGTTTACAAATTCTAAGTTTGATAAGTATATCCAAAAGTATAAATGTTTATGATATCAATAAATTTATTTAAAAATATACAAATATTAATATTATTTTTAAAAAAAATTAGTTAAACTTGAGAATATTTGAGTCTTCAAAATACGAGATGTGCATTTATCTTGGACGAAGAGAGTATCTAGGAGTGTCCTCGTATTCGGCTTTGATAAATTCCTGTCTAGCATGTAAACACAAACACTGGTGGTTTATTTTGAGTTTGCAAGTGTAGGTGTTGTATATAGTTGAAGATGAAGACGAAAAGTCACGAGTTCCTCTAGTTTGGGGAACTTTGATTTGCATGCCTAGTTGCCTTGGAGCTGCCGAGCGCCCGACCACGGACGGCCGGACCTATCCAATCCAACCGCTGCGCTCCACACTTACCAGGCCGGGACCACCGCAACGGCCCCTTTGTCCCTCTGCAACTGGTTCGCCGGCCCCCAGCCCCCGTCCCGTTCGACACTCCGCGGCATCCACCACATCACCAGATCCGCCGCCCGCGCAGAGGACGAGAGGAATTTCATCGCGATGGGGGCGGTGGTGACGGCGGTGATCGCGATCGTGGCGGTGGTGCTCGGCTGGATCACCATCGAGATGGCCTGCAAGCCCTGCCTCGAGACCGGCCGCCGCGCCATGGACCGCGCGCTCGACCCCAACTACGACCCCGACTCCCCCACCAACGCCAACGCCACCACCGGCGGCGCCGCCCTCCACCGAGCCGCTCCTCGCCGACCTCTCAGCCTCCACCGCGCCACCCGCCAAGGCCATCTGAATCTCATCTCCCAGAGGCGATGCAGTAGTAGGCTTGCTTCCCCTTCTCCCCTCGCATTGTAATCTTGTTTCTTTCTAGAATGTCCGTCTGTGCTTATGAGTTATGACTTATGAGTTTGTTATAAACGACAACTGCTAGAAATATATAAACTGCTGTCAAACGGGATAGATACCCTGGTGATCTGAGCATCCAACTAGTGAATGCACCTGATTCAGATTTCGTATTTACAAGTGACGTTACAACCCAGATTCTGATGTGGATCCTATCTTTCTACACCAAATGCACACACACGCAACTGTTAATTTTGGGGACAATTTTTGGTCAGGTTAGAGAGAGATGTACAGATTGGTACCTATGCCACTATTCCTCTTCCTCCTCCATTGGCGTCTCGTTACTCCCTTCCACTGCATCCTCGTCCATTGCGTTGTCGTTATCGTTCTCCTCATCCGGAGCCTCAGAGTCAGTCTCCATCTGCTCCTCATCTTCCTCGTCCACGCTCCCATAGGCTTGAGAGCTCACCACATGGCCTTGCAAGTCCTTGTGCTTCAAATTGCCTGTCACAGTTCAGAATTCACAAAGTGGAGGGCATTAGAGCAGGAGGTAGGCACAGCTTCAAATTGCCTATCACAATTCACAAAGCCACAGGTCTAGGTTGAGATGCCGCGTCTCCCAACTTGCAGTTTGTGCATGACTAGGCATGGTGCTGGAGAAACTGTGAATGAGATTGCAAAATTTACCCATCTGGAATTCCTTCTCGGTGGAGCAGTTGTGTAGCAGCGCCTTAACTTGGAACAAGAACCGCTCCATGGATCGCTTTGCAGGAGGTACTTTGCTTGTGATCATTGTCCGCTTGTTACCCTGCATTACTGCTGTAAGCACGGAGCACAAGGCTTATGGTATGAACGTCGTACATACACAGAATCATCAACTGTACTGTACCTTAGCATCTGAACATATGGATTGGATTATTCTTGTCGCTTTCTGAAGTAGTCTTAGCTGTATCAACACAATTCATCAGCGACACTGATCAGCCATTGTAATTCATCAGTGATACCAAAAGGAACATAAGTGTAACCTACAGCCCTTACCATTTTGACTATGGTGCCATTATGTTGCTCGAAATGTGTCTCTAGAAAGCTGAAGGCTGCAAAAGGGAAATAGTAAATTCAACATTTTATTTTGTCAAAGGTCAAGACCAAGATACACCAAAATTGGTGTTACCAACAAGATGTTAAAAGGTTAAAGGCATGTATACTGTATACATAGTGAACTTATAGAACCACAATTCCTCACCTTTCAGAAATGTGTCGATAAACTTTCCCCCATGTTTAACTGCCATTGCATGCATAGAAACCTGTAATTTAAGAATCTTGTAAATAGTGTCTCTTTCATCCAGCAGCCCGATACTTAAACAACCGCACAAGGTACTGTTTGAGGGTCGCTATGGTGCAACTAACCTTTTCGTGAGCCTTGCACAATCCTATTAGAGAGACAAATGTCTCCACTGATTTCTGAATTTCTTGCAGAATAGTATCAACTGATCCTCTTTCAGGTGATGCTCTAGCCTTCAGTGCTTGTTTGATCTATAGTAGGATGGAAATTACTCAAACATCAGGCATCGCTACAGCTTTAGATTAAAGGACACAGCAATAGGGAAAAAAGGAGCAATTCAAGCGCATATATGCTGATTTAAATTGCTCACCGTCTTGTTTAAACTCCCAGTGTTCTCCTCATGCTGCATTAGTGACCGAAATGTTAGAAGACAAGACAAGGATGGGATAGTTCATAAATGCATCAAATGCCATACTTACAAGCACACGGTACCAAGAGGGAATAGTGGAGGAACACAATGTTGGAAAACCATACGATACATCTTGGGTATCTTTTGTTTTGAGCGAAGGTTCCTTAAAACATGGAATAAGAAGCTATAAGGAGTATTCTCGGGCAAAAAGAAAAGGATCATGTAGTTCATATCTACAACTATACGCTAAGTGAGGTGTCTCTCAGAGCACACTCAAGAAGAGAGATGGCCCACCTTAGGCAATATCTCAGCAAGTAGATCTGAAGTAGAGTCACTATTCCTGAGGTATATTTGCAATATCTTCTGTATAAGATCACCCTGACACACAAAAAGCGGGGAACATATTAGGAGCAACAAGCTTATCACATATCAGCTAGCACATTAAAAAGGTAGTTGGATGGAACTTAAGCTTACTTTACTCTGCCATCCTTTTTCAGCATCTTCGCTAGGGAAATCAGCGCTTAGCAGCTTATGAGCTGAGTATCCAAGACGCTTTCGCAGAAAGGGAATGATCACTTTGGAGCATCCCATGTGTATATTTTTCCCATTTGGTTCCCCAGATTTTTCCAACAATACAACAACAGAATTCACAATTGATTGTATAGTAATTAACACATCAGAAGACAAAAGGTATGAGAACGAGGACACTGCAAAAAGATTAGAACACTAAAATTAGGCAAAAAGATTACATAATGTCCAAGCACTGTGGGCACCAACAGCTAGTTACCTGGATCCATAATATCCTCCAACATTTTACATGCTCCACAATATAGGTAATCAACATTGCAAGGAGCAAGAGATGGTTGGAACTCAGAAAGAACATCATCAAAATTTTCAGTTGGCTGCAAAGTCTGCAAAAGTTGCTTCAGAATTGACATGTTTGGTTGATTCAACAGATCAGGAATGGCAAGTAACTGCAAAAGGCACCAGACTTGTTAGCAAGCAGCTTCAGTTTCTAGATCTCTCGTCTATTTTCAGATGAAAGAAAATACATCCATAGAACAACCTTCCTGTAGCAGCCAAGAATCTCCTTGCATACAGCAGTCACAATTGATGATTTGGAGACCACCACATATGGTATGCCTGGGTTGCCAGCAGAAGATGAATGTGAACTCCAGTTATCTGGGCAGCTCTCTGATACTGAAGAATAGTAGCGTATCGTGTTATCAACCGAAAGTAAGGAGAGCCAATGAAGGATTATACAAAATTCAAACACTGATTTTCCCCCTCGAACAATGCAGGAGAGCTGCATGTCCATGCATTAAGAACAAAAGCCCCAACCATAAAGAAACCGACTCGGCCCATTAATTATCTAGTAATTCAAACAATGTAAAAGTAACAAGAAGCAGAAATTATGAAATAGAAGTTTACCATCTTTGATCATTGAAACTGCTCCATCCAGATGCCTCCTTAAAACTAAGAATAGAGGCTGGATTTTGTCAAGAAATTCTTGTGTGCTCTTATGGCAGTGAGTACGAGTATATTTTGCTTGAGAAGTACTAAGAAAAGTCTTGGTTGAAGGATTTAGATTATCTAATTTGTTATGCAGATCACGGAGAAGATATAGATATGTTGGTAGCTGCGTGAAAAAATAGCCAGATGTTAATAATTTAACCACATTTTAGCAGTAATTATCTAGTAGGAATAAAGTACCTCAGTTTCAAGGTAAGAAGATGAATCTTGACACTGCAAAAAAAAAGCATACCAATTGTTTTAATGAACATAAGATGACAATTAAGATAGGAAGAAAAGATTTTCTGATCCACTAGTCAATTTAAACTGAAGAAATCCATACCTCTGAGTAGTTCAACAAAGACAAGCATGTTGTATGGAGAGTTCTGAATTTGAATCTTTGCATATCCAGTTTAATTGGTGCTGCCATTAAATCTATAAGCCCAAATTCACCAGGATCATTAGCATCTTGTGCAATATCCTTTGACATCATTCCACTTGACGATGGTTGTGAAGAAGCTTTGTTTGTCGCTTGACTGACTGTTACTCCTGCTCTTTTGAAAGCATCCAATATTCTAGGTTGCTTGAGTTTATCATCAGGATTCATTTTTTCTGAGGCTTTGCCCTTGCAACCCTTCTGTCTTTTGCTGGAAGCACCAGTTATGCTCTGTTCTCTCATGTTCTTTGGAATGTTGAATTTGCTGGTGCTTGTTGATCCAGAACAATCCCCAAGATATCGCAGCTCAGGCAGAGATAATGGATAATTTTTGAGAAATGCATTCAGCAAGCCTTCAAGTAATCTGAATTGCACAAATTTGTCATTACTCATAGGCATATGCAAAGTTCAGCTAGGCGCTAGGCGGAATCTAGGCGTTGACCCATTGCCTAGCGCCTAGTCGGGAGTACTCGGTCCTAGGCGCTCCTAGGCGTTTTCCTAGGCGTTTTGGCAATATAGCCATAAATTATATATATATTATGTATATAACTATATATATGTATATAACTACTTATATGAGTCACAGAATATAAAAGAGGGCAGCTAACTTCATAGATTTTTTTTTTTGAGAAACTAGATTAATATAGATAATAATAAAGAGAAAAAGGAAAGGAAAAAAGAAAAGAAAGGAGGAGGAAGAAGTGGTCCGCCCAATACTGATGTGCCCTCAAAGCGCCTTCACTCTCCCACACACTTCACTTCCGCCTCGGAGTCAGAAATAAAGAGGAACCGGATGCTGAGCAGCCAGCGCCGATTGGGGAAAGACGGGCCAGCTCGCAGCGGCCCAGCCGCTGCCTGCGCACAGCGACAAAGGCCGCACGGCTCGACGGCGGTCGGTCGGCAACTTCTCCTGTGCCCAGGGCCCAGGCTCTCCCAACGGGTGTGAATGATGGCTTCTCTCCTCCTCAGAGCAAACAATATCCAATGAACACTAGGATCTAAATGGTTCTATTACAACTTTGGGCATATGCCATACATGAATACATAAAAAGTTTGGAATCTCTAACTTCTCTGATTTAGATTAATAAAATGGACAATACTATGGAAATTCACTGCCCACACACTTGAGTCAGAAATAAGAATACATTTTTCAGTGCCCAGGGCCCAGGAATGATGATGGCAGAGCAAACAATATCCAATGAACACTAGGATCTAAATGGTTCTATTACATTTATAGATGTCTCCTGAAGTGGGCCTAACTATGAATGTGATCATTATCAGTAGCACAATAACGATGGGTGTACTGATTTCTTACACGCTCATCCTGCTGTCTCATCCCTTGCTTTCTGTGAAACATTATCAACCCTACTTTCAACTTGTGTGCCGAAAGCATTGAGCTGCATTGATTCTCTAGTTTAGACAATAGAGATGAAAATCACAGTTTGAAAACTATAGCATACAAAACCACTCACCAACTCCCTGATCCAGTTTATTGCATAGTACAGGGAATAGCACACTGTTTTTTTCTGCAATCCTGACAAGTTTCCCCATTTAGCCCCATCCAAGTGCTGTCAGTGGTACATATTAGAAGTTATTATTTTGCTTGATCATTAAATAGCATCTCTCAAAATTTGGACAATTTATACACTGCAGAAGTGACATCTATATAGTGGAAGCAGTGAAGTCCTTGTACTTTTGTACAAGAGTGAAGAGATCTGCAAACAACCTATAGGTAAACACTTAAGAAAAAATAGCTACTCCTGCCATTCTTAAATGCTTGGCATTGGCACTTCTGTTTGGAAATATTTTGCAAACTACCTTAAGAATTACTCTCTTCAGTCAAAAAATACTTCATATTTGAGTTTGCACAGTCTTCAATGCATATATTTGACCACTAATTCCTTTAACAATATATTTTAAAATCCTTCAAATTTATAAGATTTTGCAAGTGTTTTTCAATACAATTCTATACATGTAACTTGCATTTTTCAAACTACGTAGTTTTTAAGGTTTGACTAAATCTTGTCTGAAACAACATGTTTCTGACCAGAGGAAGTAAATAATTTGTGATTCGCCACTAGAAACTATTTGAGTGCAATAGCGAGTTAGAAGTATTCCTCACCGAAGCAATTTAGAACTACACCAAGAAAGTAGATAGCAATATAATTGAACAGAGAAATGTATATAACCTTGGTAGAGGGAAGGTGCAAAGGACAGCCAAGTAGTGCATTTATTCCACCAAGTGAGCCTTCATTTACTAAACGCTCAATCTTTGATATAAAGCAAGAAGAATGTAAGCTCAGCAATTAAGACATATAAAACTACGTAGTTATTGCACTTACTGTTGTTAAAAGTGAAAATTGGGACATAAGGATCTGCAAGCAGGATTGAGATCTGCAAAAAGTGAAAAATATAACTAAATTTGGCTAGTGCAGGTTCTTTGAAACTAATTACCTACTCCTTCCATTCCAAACTATAATTCGATCTGGCTTTTTTAGATACACTGTTTTGACATAGTATATATCTAGGTGCATAGATAAAGTTATGCATCCAGAAAAGCCAAAACAACTTATAATTTGGAATGGAGGGAGTACCAAATAATGACACCATCAATAACTTATGGTATTTTACTTTTGGGGCGCAGTGGAGGCTAGAGGCATAATATTTACACATACTGGAGAGATATTTCCATCCAACTTCATCCATAATTCTCCTGTAACCAAGGTGTCAACAATTACATTTGCACTTGTTAATTGTAAGTATTGACATCCTAATGTTCAAAAGAAATGGAGTCCATAATACAAAAAATAACTATGACATCATTTAGCTAACCTTCTATGTCATCACATACACATTTCTCCGGTAGTTCGCCATTTTCTAGATCAGCAAGAAAAGGTGTCTCAAATAATTCTGCAGCATGCTCTCCTACCCTGAATAGACCAATTGGTAAAATAAACCATCTTGCATGAGCACAACCAGCAGAAAATACATATGACGAAATACTGAACATATACCATCATTTTGTACCTACCACTCATGAATTGAAGAGTGAATAACTTTGCTATCCAGCAAAGCAGCTAATTCATCATATAGAAAAATCAAGGGTAATGTCACAAATTTGCATGAGTTAACAGACATCTTCAGCAATTCCAGGGCCTCCTCACAATTTGGTTGCTACCAAACCAGCCAAATAAAATTAGCATTAGGATTTCATGAATGCAAAAAAAAGGTTGATGCAGTAAGTGCAGTTTGTGCAATAAGTGCAGTTGTGTCCTAGAAAAGGAACTTTAGCAATTTTACTGTACAGTATATGCATTCCTAACATGTTATCCTTCATTTCAGCATGTGTATAAGATATGTGGTATACTATTTTATCAGTCATTCATGATGCTTTGCAACAAACAGAATCACAAACTAACAATGAGTAGTTTAATTATTCATACAAATTTGTTATTATCTTATCTATCAAGATTTGTCATGATAGATGGTTTATACCTGAGGTATTCAAGGTGTTCAAATAATTCAGCAATAAATTTGTTATGATAGTTGTGCTCAGATGAGAGCTGGCATTCACTTGGGCATATGAAGGAATGCCATGGTCAGACATAACATATGCACTTGGCGTGTTGTTTCAACAAAATATTGCCACTTATCCTAAATTTACATTGTGGCATTGTGCTTAAAACAAACCTGAGATGATGAACAGTTCACAACAGCATTGACATCAGTGGAAGCAATAGTAGAAACTATCCTTAAAACCCCAATTATTCCCATCCGTCTATACTTCATGTCTGGATTACCAACCTACAAGGCAAGAAGCAGGCACAGAAAGCAATAACGAATTGTAATTTGCAAGTGAAAGATGTCTTTCCGAGAAGAATGTGCTACCCATGTAAGAAATGTGGTCATACCTGCTTTCTCACCACCATTAGAAGCTCATTAGCTACTTTAGAGCCACCTGAACCAGTATTGAAGCCAGCAGCCAGTGCCAAACGACAGAAGATATCGTAAACCTATATGATTCTTGATCAGGTATTATTTATGGAGACACAAATTAGGAGAGAAATGAGCAATGTATCACAAACCTTCCGAAGATTATCTTCATGAAAACTCTCCAAGTAATCCAATATTCCTGTATTGAAAATGTCAATAAGTCTGTTCAGCAAATGAAAAGCACTAAATACAAAGGAAAGTTTCTTTTTCTCGAATATGCAGGAGCTCTGCATATCATTGCATTATATATCAGAAGAAGAATACAAAGGGTGGACTAAAGACCAACTACCAGCATAGGAAAGTACCTTACCAGTTATATGTGAAGATATAGGAATCAGTTCCTCCGAATTGTTGGATGTTAGAGAAATCATGATATCCAGAGCAGATGAAACTTCATAGCTAACACCAGAACCTATATGAGCGACCAATGAACCCACAAGCTGCCAAAAAAAGGGACAAACTATTAGGAAATGATGAACAGATAAAATGCACAAAACAGAACAGATAATTTGTAATCAAAGATAAATGGTCATTCAGTACTAATTCACAGAGTACATATCCATTTATTATGTATTCGCACTTAAACAACCAAAGTGTATGAAAGTGTTACAAAATTGAATTTTTCAGAAATCACAAAGATTATATCGTGCCATCAGCATATATAAGACATCCTCAACTTTTTAGCCTGTGGATCATGACAACCAGAAGTGTCGGAAGCCAAGCAGTACCTCTTGCCTGGAATATGTATCAATGAACTCTTCAAATAGTGCTATGAACAAATAAGCTGCAAACTCTCTAGCTTTCTCTTCCTTGCAAGCCAACAAGTAATTGCTAACTGAGAGGTATGACATGAAATGTTCCTGATTCAAGTAAAATCATGTCACATTTAGACTCAAAATTAGCATGGATATTTACATGTATGCTGCATGTATACAATCATTGCAGTATAATGAAGAACTAACCTTCACCAGTTCAGTGTTTCCATGAATGCATTGATCAAACAGCGTCTCTCTTATGCACTCCTGTAAGATCTTGGACTTCAATATTTTCTCTGCACTCTTCTGTAGAGCACCACCATTGGCATAGATAAGCATGATGAGCCAAACATCAATCACTTTGTGATCCCTCGGGTGGTCAACTGACTTCAGCTCCTTCAAGAAAGCCTCACAAAGCATCTGCATTCACAACAAAGCACAGCCAAGAAGAAGCTTGAACATAGCTACAAAAAGGATTTCGGAAAGTTCCAGAGGAGAGCTTCCCAATCTACAGTACTTTGCTGCAAAATAAACTGAAGATTCAAACAGTTTACATTCTTAAACCGCAGGCCTGATCTCAGTGTATCAAGTATTGCCCCATCAGTGCTTTTAGCCGATGCCTTCCCTTTAGGCTTCTTATTTCGTGCAGCCCGTGGATCCACCACACCAACAAACTTGAGCTGCTCACGTATCTGCAATATAATCCTCCCAGCATTGACTGGCGTAGCCGACAAAAGCAAGAACCTGAGCAAATGAGGCATCTGGTCTGGAGCAATTGTCCGGATGCATGATATCGCAACAGTCACTGCCTGCAGGAGAGCCACGTCATCAGATCATAACATCATACAGACATACAAAACAAAGTTCACTGACAGACACACAAAACAGAGAAGAAAATGTGTATACATAACCTGCTCCTCATCATGCAGACATACAAAACAAAGTTCACTGACAGACACAAAACAGAGAAGAAAATGTATCCACATCACCTGCTCCTCATCATAGAGACATATACAAAACAAAGTTCACTGACAGACACACAAAACAGAGGAGAAAATGTGTCTACATCACCTGCTCCTGCAATTCCTCGTTGAGGTTAAGATCCGACAGCACATCAAGCACAGCGACCACGATCTCGGAGTCCTCCTGCAGGAGCTTCTCGAGCGCAGTAACCACGGCGGCGTGGCTCTGGTCGCCAACAATCTCCGGGAGCGAGCCGATGATCTCCTTCTTCAGGCGGGGCGGGGCCACGGAGAGCACCTCCACGAGCTTGTCAACGAAGGCGTCGGCGTCGACGAGGAAATCCAGCCAGCGGAACTGCGACACGATGAGCCTCCCCACGTCGTCCTGCAGCGGCAATCCGTCGAGCGCGCCGCCGCCGCCATCGTCGAAGTGCTCGGGCAGCTTCTCGAGGAGCAGCGCGAGTAGGCCCGGCTGGAGCGCGGGGACGGAGAGGAGAGCCCGCGCGAGGCTCGGCGCGTGCGGCGCCGTCGGGAGGAGCAGCTGGCGGAGCCGCGCAGGGGAGGAGGCCGCGAAGGCGGCGAGGCCCTCGAGGAGGCGCCGCGCGGGGGCCGAGGGGGAGGAAGCGTCCCCGCCCGCGGAGAGCTTGCGCGAGAGGCGGGCCGCGAACGTGTGCGGCGAGGAGAGGGACGGGGGCTGGTGCGGCGGGACGAGGAGCGTGCAGCCCGCGTCGGCGAGCAGCGCCGCCGCCGCGTCGACGTCGGAGGAAGCGTCGGGGTCGGCGGCCCTGGGGGGCTCGGGATCGGGCTCGAGCTCGAGCGGCGGGGCCGGGCGCTTGCGGGGGTTGATGGGGCAGCTGCGCTGCAGGAACACCATCGCCGCCGCCGATCGCCGCAGCGAAGACGAGATACTGTATGTCTTCTTCGAGAAGACAGTCACACAGGGACAGAGGGATTTGGGGAATTTTGGGATGGGTTTGGGGCAAATGAAATTTTGGCGCCACGGGGAGCTGCGCCGATACCCGCACGGAGGATCGCAGAACAATCTCAATGGCAGGTGGGTCCGTGTGGTCTCACATGGGCCAATGATATCAGCGGAAGTCGTCAGACTAATCCAACCCACCCACTGACCTCAGTCTGAGCGTTCGGTCAATCAAAACTGATCGAATTGTTTCTTCAGATAATTCGGTTATATGACAAGAATGGATCGATCGGTTACTTTAAAAATATAGAATCGAGGAATTTCGGTTTTGGTTAATTCAGTTCGGTTTCGGTTCTAACCAATGGAACCGAATTTTTCAGAACCAAGAAACAACCAATTCAATTGCAAATTTCGAATGCATTTTGCCTTATTTTCATGTAGTCAAAAGAGACAATTTAAATAGCAATGCAGCATAAACACAACAGTACAACACATATATGTTATTGTTCTCTCAAATATTCAAGCATAGAGCAATATAAGCTTGCTGTAAAAAACAAGAGGTCCAACAGCTTAGTTCGGTTATTTCAGGTTAATTCGGTTAACCGAGTGCTGGAACCGAATTAACCGTAATAATTTCGGTTCTTAGGAACCTGGGACCGAATATTTCAGTTTCGATTACTTCGGTTTCGGTTTCGGTTTCGGTTCCGGTTAGTTCGGTTCGGTTCTCGGTTTTTTGTGCCCAGGCTTACACTGACCCACTAGCCTCCTATTCATATTCGCTGCTGAACGAAAACGGAACTGCCCGTCGGACGGTAACCTCTCCTGATTTGTTTTCCACGCATGTCCATGTAGGGCCCGCATCCGGGTGTCACCATGCCGCACGCTCGCGCGGGACCGCTCACGCCCCTCCCGATGCCCACACGCATCCTATGTACACACTCCGATATACTTTTAAAATATTCCGATGTAACGTTTGCAATATACATATACGTGAAGGTAGATAAAATATTTAAAAACTATTGCAAACATATACAACATCTAGATAAAAACACTTGAAACATGTGTATGGAATATATGCAACATCTAGATAAACACACTTGCAATATACGCTTAGAAAAAACAGATGAAAACATTGGGGATAGACGCTTGCAACATACATGTATAACCATTGCAATATATGCAACATCCCAATCTACTTTTACAACATCCACGTGAAACTCTTGCAACATACCTCTCTAAAACATTTGAATGTACGCTTGCAACATGCATCGTTTCCCAGTGCGGCCTCCCCCGCATCTACATCGGAGCACTGCAGTCGTAGCAAGAGTCGAGAGCCTATCAGCGTCATCGGGTTGCCAGCTCACGACCAAGGAAGCGGTCCCCACACGTGGGGCGGTGGTGCCCGCACTGTAAGGCGGGGCGAGCGGCGGAGTAGGAGCAATGGCGAAGGGAGGTCCGGTGGAGAGGAATGGCGCCAGGCAGGCGCCCGGGCATGCCATAGCGGCTGCTGTGGATGTAACACCCTAATGTTAAGCATTGTATTTGGTATTTGTATTTCATGAACACAAGCATCATCCAAGCATTCATGAGTATGAGCATATGGAATTTCATCTATTCTTTACATATTATCACATGTGATGTTGATTATATACATGCATATGCTTCTGATCATGTGTGACCAATGCAAGAGATGGTTGTGAGGTAAAACGCCTTAGACACATCTAGGATGGTAAATGGAACAATATTTGTGTTCATGACATGGGCCAATTTTGCTTCTAAGTGTTGGTTTACTGTGAAATGCCTTTTTCATGATCCTACTTTGATTAAAGTTGAACTATAGAATAGATTGTTTGCATGGCAATGCACCCTTAATAAAAGTTTTAGCTTATCTTATATGGAACAAACTTTGTTTAAGGGTCATGAGCTAATTCAGTGCCTAACATGATCAAATAGGGCCTACAAGAATCAACAAAATGTTGTTTTGAGACTTAAAAATTTTGTTGTCTAGAAGCTCTTTACAGTTTCAAGTGACCAACTTTGGGGCATTGTAACTTGAAAACCATGATGAATTAGAGGAAGCTTTTTAAAGCAAAGTTGGAGAGTACATGTAGCTCTACAACTTTTACTAATACCATTTTCACTGATTCACCACGGATTAGAAGTTACACATGCATGAAGTAGCTCTGTCAGTCATCTGCATCAGGCCCTGATGGCCAATTTGAATCGGCCCTGGTGGCCGACCACGCCAGGCGCTGGGCACCGCGTGGCGCCGTACGCCGGAGCCAGCCCCGCTATGCCACGCCGAGGGGGAGAAAAGGGCTCCCGATCACTCACTCTCTCCCACTCTCACTCACTCGCCCTCGCTCTACCTCACTCTCGCTCTCGCGCAGTCGAGCCAACCCACCGTCGCCATCGCTGTCGTGCCTCTGTCGTGCTCTCACGCCACCACCGTAGCCCCGCCGTTCAATCTGTCACGCGCATAGCGCCGCCGTGACTTGCTCCACTTCCCTGAATAGCTAACGCCATCATTCGTGCAAGGGTAAGACCGCATTGTGCCGCCGCTGTCGCCGCCATGGCCATGATGCACCACCGAGCTCAAGCTCGCCAGTGGCCAGCCACAACCCGTCCACCTCCGACCTCTCTCTCCCTCATCTGGTCGTCGTCATAGGGTCTAGATGCTAAGGCCGAAGCTAGTTTAACTATTACCGCCGCCGCCACCAGCGGCTATGGCACTCTTACTTACCAGCGTGGCCAGAGTTTTCCGCACATACCTTGAACTCTACGGTCTTAACAATAGGAAGGGTTAGAACGCATTAACCCCTTTTTACACATAAAAAGGAAGAAAGAACAATTTTGTTCAAATGAAACAAAATAATAAGCTTGTTTAAACAAAAGGGTCGGAACTTGTCCGCTTATTACAAAAACGACCACCCGACCTATTTAACTAACTAGCCCCTCCGGGGAAGAATTATGCCTTCTATCCTGTTCGCCAGGTCCTGCAAAAGGGGAGCCACCGTCATTTCCATCTCCTCCAGCTCATGGACTTCATAACCGATGTGTAGCCATGGCTCATCGCCTCCAGATCAATGTTGTCCCCATAATGAGAACGAGCAATCGTGAAGGACTGATTGACCCCGGCACGAAGGGCATTCCTCGCGAGTTGGCACACCCGAGCCGTGATCTCAACGGCACGAGCCGCAGCGAGCTGGTCCCCTCCAACCACACCACCTCAAGGTCATCACAGACCACTCTGAGGGCGGCGCTCAGGGTACCGAGCTCGTCACTCTCCGCCTAAAGATTTCTCCTCACCTCGGGGAGATCCACAGCTAGCCCAATAGAAATGCTCTCGGCCTCCAGCTTCCGGGTTCGTCTCCCTTTTGAGCTCGACATGGAGGGAGCCGACCTTCTACTGCGCATCGTCACGCTATTGGTAGGCCTGGTCATGCTCTCGAAAAGCCTGGTCGCGCTCCTCGCGAGTCGCACCATGTTCCGAGCGGAGGCTCTCCATGGTTTGGATTAGCTCATCTCGCTCCTTGCATAGCCGAGCAACCATAGCGACATTTGGGCTCACCCTTTTCTCCAGGGCCATGAGCTTCTCCTTAGCTCCCAGCCTCAGATCCCTTTCTTTCCCAACCTCGCCTAGAAGGTCAAGGATCTGCTGGTGGGTTTTGGCGTCCTTCTAGAGCAACTCATCCCGCTCCTTCCTGACCCTGGCGGCTTCTTCGTCATCCTTTCGTGACCTCACCGACAGGGCTTCGAACGCCTTCTCGGCCTCGTCAACATCCCGATGGGCCTCGGCCACCCATGACCAAAGATTGGTCACCTCCTCGGCGAGGGGAGTTAGCTCGACCACCCTCTGCTGGGCGGAAACGAGCTGAGCTATCACCTCCCCACGTAGCCATGCCTCCTTGATGAGGTGGTCCCAGGCTTCCTTTGTTGACGAAGGAACCGAGATTTTCCCCAGCTGCGAGCTATAAGGGACTGCAAGGAGACGATGGTCAGGATACAAAAAGTATGTAGAGGAAGAAAAGGGCAAGAAGCAGGGCCAAACAATACTTGGCCAAAGGGAACAACAACGTCGCGCAATGCGCCTGCGGTGTCTAGGGCCTCGAGCACAGACGCGATCCCTATGTCGAGGCTCTCCCGCTCCATGCTCTCTACGACGTCGTCAAGGGTAAAAAGCGTTGACGTCGGATTATGCGGATCTGCCCACTAGAGCAGGGGCTTGCCCCGTGCGGGTGAGCCGCTACCCACCGACGTTAGGCTCAGGGACAACTCCCCGCCAGCCCCAAGCGCCACCGAACCCTCTCGCCATGACGTCCCCGTCGGCGCGCCCCCTCCGATGATGGAAGGGGTCAGCGGTGCGACATGAACCTCTCTCCTAGCACCACGCCAGCGCTGTCGCTTGTCCGTCGATGGCACAGGTCACGCCGATGCCTCAGGCGACGCTACGCGGTTGCACCCGGCTATGACCCATCTATCATGGTTGCCGCCACCTCCACCTGCGTTGGCAAGGTCACGACCGGCTGCTTCACGCCCACCATGGTCGGCGCCACGAGCGCGGTCGGTAGCCACGTCTCGCCGCCGTCGGCAGCGGTATCGCAGCCGATCATCGGCTACTCCACGACCTCCGAAGGCGCCCCTTGAATGCCCACATCCACCCATCCCGCTGAGGGCACAGGCGCCACCATGGGCGGCGCCTGACCAGCCAGCGACGCGGTCACACTAGCGCGCTCCCGCCCAAAACCGGCACGACACCAGCCGACGGCCGCCACCCCAATTGAAGGGCGATGCTCTTCTTCGGTGCTAGTGCCAAAGGATTCGTTGTCTGCCGACGCTGCAAGGGACAAAAACATGTCATGATGAAATCCGACTAAAATAGGAAAAAATAGAGGAATTGATAACTCACCTCAGCACCGTCGGGCGACAGATGCGTTTGGGGGACGAACCCCGTG